AAGCCAGCCGGGCCCGCCGCTGTACCACTACCGCCGGTCTGGCACCCCCCAAAAAAGCGCTCCCCCCTACCAAGCCAGCGGCCGCCGGCTTGGTACCCCGCCGGCTTGGTACCTCTTCCCGGGGGCTCTCCCCTACCAAGCCAGCGGCCGCCGACTTGGTGCCCCGCCGGCTTGGTACCCCCCAAGGGGCTCCTCCCTACCAAGCCAGCGGCCGCCGGCTTGGTATTCCCCCAGGTCTCTCCCTACCAAGCCAGCGGCCGCCGGCTTGGTACCCCGCCGGCTTGGTACCCCCCCAGGGGTTCCCACCTACCATGCCAGCGCCGGCTTGGTAGCCCGCCAGCTTGGTATCCGGGAACCCCTCCCCCCCCCCCTCCCGCCCTCCCACGATGCCGCCGGCTTGGTACCCCGCCGGCTTGGTACCTCCCCCCGCCGCCCGCCCCCTGCCAAGCCAGCGCCGGCTTGGTACCCCGCAGGCTTGGTATCCGGGAGCCATTCCCCCCCTCCCGCGCTCCCGCTATGCCGCCGGCTTGGTGCCCCGCCGGCTTGGTACCCCCCGCAGCTCGCCCCCTACCAAGCCAGCGCCGGTTTGGTACCCCGCCGGCTTGGTATCCGGGAGCCCTTCCCCCCCCCCCTCTCCCGCTCTCCCACGATGCCGCCGGCTTGGTAACCCGCCGGCTTGGTACCTCCCCCCGCCGCCCCCGCTACCAAGCCAGCGCCGGCTTGGTACCCCGCCGGCTTGGTATCCGGGAGCCCCTCCCCTCCCTCCCGCGCTCCCGCGATGCCGCCGGCTTGGTACCCCGCCGGCTTGATACCCCCCGCAGCCCACCCCCTACCAAGCCAGCGCTGGCTTGGTACCTTGCCGGCTTGGTATCCGGGAGCCCTTCCCCCTTCCTCCTCCCGCCCACCCACGATGCCGCCGGCTTGGTACCCCGCTGGCGTGGTACCCTTCCGCCGCCCCTCCCCAACCAAGCCTCGCCTGCCGACTAGCCGAAACTGCAAGGAGAACACACACCTCCCTCCTCCTCCTCCTCCGCCTCCCTCCCTCTCCTCCTCCTCCTCCTCCTCCTCACTCCTCCTCCTCCTCCTCCTCCTCCTCCTCCTCCTCCTCCCCCTCCTCCTCCTCCTGCCTCCTCCTCCTCCTCCTCCTCCTCCCCCCTCTCCTCCCCCCTCCTCATCCTCCTCCTCCTCCTCCTCCTCCTCCTTCCTCCTCCCCCCGCCTCCTCCTCCTCCTCCTCCTCCTCCTCTCCTCCTCCTCCTGCCTCCTCCCCTCCTCACTCCTCCTCCGCCTCCTCCTCCTCCCCTCCTCCTCCTCCTCCTCCTCCCCCCTCCTCCTCCTCCTCCCCCCCGCCCCCCGTAGGGATGCGGGGGCTTACCATTCTGATTGGATAGTCGCGTGTATGGATGCAGACGAGGCCTTCTGGCAGGGCCTCAAGTACCGCGAGCTTTCCGAAGCCGCTGGGGAGCGGGAGCGCACGGCATTTCTTCACCCCACCACGAGGCTCTGCTTCGGTACTTCGAGCCTTGCCTGGGTTCGAGAAGTAAGATACAAGCAAGCGTTGCCTTCAGTGCCTCAAGCCAGGCACCAGGACGAAGGATGCTCCACGCGCCTCCTCCTTGAGATTGCGCAGCATCACGGGCGGCTCTGGACTTCGAGGAACGGGAGCGTCTTACGACGAAGAGCTCGAAACAGCGGAGACGCCACCGACGGCCAAACGCGTAGACGATCTAAACATGACTGGTGAGGAAGAGACGATGGATCGTCACGTGAAATGTTTTGAGCGCGCGCTTATGAACATACTTGCACCAGTGGCCAGTTGTGCCGTCATTTGCACGAAAACCGACAAGGGCGACGTCATTCTGGATCAGGACGACTACGTCAAACAATTCCGTCCCATTCAACATCCGGAACTCACGGGTGCAGAGGCTGAGGAAGAGGCTGCCGAAACTGTCGCATACATGTTTGTTTGTCTCCGTGGGGCATTCGCATATGCCCTAATAACCCAAGTCCGGCTGACGGTCTACGTTGTCTTCACGATCGCGCGCAAACTTCAGGCATAACCCAAGAAGAAAGTAGATCCTGCCATGCAGTCGACCGGATAACGCGACCTCCAAAGCGACTCAGGCTACCGACGGTTGACCGGAGACGCTGAAGACGAGACCACGGGGTATGCATCAGAGGTGCCAGCCTTCTCAGGCGTTGAAACACGTGATGGCAAACCTGCCGCACGCCTGATAGAGGCCTACTGCAAGTCGCATCGACTGCAGGTTCGGTCAAGCTGCTCTCCAGAAGCGCTAGCAGCAGCCCACAACCTAGAAGACAGTTACCCGACCAATATCACATTGCACGAACTCAAGGCGGGACCGCTAACGACACAATTCATGAACGTCATGGGAATTTGTGGTCTGTGTCTTAAGGTTGCTCTTACTATTGGCGCCGAGTCCGTGTTTAAGTCCATATCTAACAAGGATCTGAATAAGCTGACTGAGTGCACACTTTTGGGTCATATTCGGTGGGTCAGACAGATGATGGATCGGGGGATCATACGCAGCATGCAGTGGTGTGGCACCTGGGATATGACTGCTGGTGGACATACCAGAGGCAATATCGACCGCGACCTACTGTTAGAAGTAAAGGCGGGTACGCAAGTTCTTCAGACACGAGCTGAATACCTATGCGCCCTACAGGGCTTAGACATCAAAGCTTGCGCCTGGCTTTCGATGAGCTGGCGGAACGCCAATTCCTTGCGTGGGGTCACGCCGGAGTGAATGAACCTTCTTTTGCCGCCTTTGCTTCTGTTTTCTGTGCTTTGTGCCTGTATATGGTTGCGTGGGCCCGCGCTGATTTCGTGCTGTATATGTGGGTGCACGCAATGTCCAGTCAGCTCTTTATTAAACTTGCAGACTAGACTTTGGCACTTGGCCGAGTCGGGTGCGGCTTGCCGTGGCCGCTACTTATGTCACGCGTGGGCCCCATAGCCTCAAAGCAGCTAGGATTTGAACTCATCTCATCAATACTATGTGCGCACTGTATGTAGTACGGTCTCGCAACATGTAGCTTGACGCTCGCGCCACCGCACGTCTCCTCCCCCTCGACTCTGAACGTTGGTCAGAGAGCTTGGTCATATTCGAGCGAGCGTAGCGAGCGTCCGCGCCGCCGTTTGTTGTTCAAGCGGCTGGCGTTCTATTTGCCCGAATCGTAAGCGCAGCTGTTGATCCGCTATCGCATCGGAAAAAAGGTCATTCTCTTCGAAAATGTCGCCCGCACTTATCCTTTACCACCATTGCTACATTTCACGATGTCTACGTCACTTTTTGCTTCCTGGGCCGTCATGGAAACCTTTTGGCCCATGTTGGCGGCCTTGGCGGCTGCCTTGGCCGTTTGAGAAGCTATCTTGGGCACCTCCAGCACCTTGGAGGGTGCTGGGAACGTGTCCTGGGCGCCGACAGAGCTTCGGCCCCCAAAAATGTGAGGCGATGCGTGCAGGGGGATGCGACGAGCGGGGGAGGGGGTCCCCTAGAAAATGTCAGAAACCCTGCCGCGCAGCACTGGGCAGTCTAGCGCGCGTCAATGTGCCAGGTGCACGGTGGCGGACCTTTTCGGTGGATCGGTGTGACAGGGATGATAGCACGGCCATGTGCACCGCATTGTATCATATTGCCTTCGGTTCATCCCGTCCGTGCCTGGGCTGTGGGTGTGAAGCCTTGTGGATCTTTATTGGGATCTCGAGGGAGGCCTTCATGGGCTTCTGGGGGGCAATTTTGAGGCTTCTTGGGGGCCGTTTTGGCTTCTTGGGGCCTCTGTTGGGTCTCTTGGGGGTCTTTGGGGCCTCTTGGGGGCTTCCTGGGGCCTCTTTTTGCCTCGTGGGGCCTTTTGGGGGTCTCTTGGGGTGGAAGGCTCGGATTTTCGGTTCGTGTTTCCTCTCTTGGCGGTTTTGGGGCCATCTTGGGCCGTATTGGGCACCTCTTGGGCCGTTTTGGGGCGCCCTTTGGCCGTTTTGACGCGCTCTTGAGGGTTTCTTGGGCCGACTCAGAGTGGTCTTGGAGGCCTCTTGGGCCGTCTTGGAGCCTTGGGAGGCCTCTTGGAGGCCTCTTGGAGGCCTCTTGGGGCCGTCTTGGAGGCCTCTTAGGCCGTCTGGGGGCCATCTTTGGCGTATTGGGGCGATCTCTCGGCGTTTCGAGGCCCTTTTGGACAGTCTTGAGGGCCTCGTGGGGTCCATTTTGGCCCGTCTTGAGACCTGTTTTGGATTCCAAAAAGTCAGGCGAGAAGATTCCGGGAACCCCAGGGGGCACGCAAGAAACCCCGGGAGGTTTGTGAGAATTGGGGGTCCGGGCGTTCGAGAGACGTCTCAGGAGTGAAGGCTGAGGCTCAGGGGATGAGGCAAAGGATTTGACAGTACACCCGATCCTTGCCTAAGGGCACGGTGGCGGGTATTTTTTCAAGGGATCGTTGCCGTGCGACAGGGGTGAGGGCACGGCCATGTGCGCCGTAGTGTAGTGTAGTTCCGAGGGATCGTGGCCGTCACACAGGGGTGAAAACACGGCCATGTGCACCGTAATGTGTTTGTTTGCGAGGGACCGTGGCCGTGTGACAGGGGTGAGAGCGCGGTCGTGCACTGGAGTGGATCTTTCATACTGGCTTGTGGCCGTGTGGCAGGGGATGAGAGCACGTCCATGTGCATGGCCTTGTTCTGTTGCAAGGGATCGTGGCCGTGTGACAAAGGGTGATGACACTGCCATGTGCACCGTAATCGTGGCCGTGTGCCGAGGGTGAGAGCGCGGCCATGTTCACAGCAGTGCATCATGCAGCGGGGGCGTGGCCGTCTGGGCCAGAAGTGTGGCCGGCATCGAGGCGAGAGCAGTATTCCCGAGCACGCCGAGGAGGTCTCAGGCGCAAGGGCGAGTCCAGGAGCTCGGTCTCCTGCCTCTTCCCAGCCTCCATGCGGGACTCTCGCGTGGTCCTTCCTGGCCCTTGGTAGAACCCGTGCTGCATCCGCTGCCAGGAACGATTTCCTGCTTGTCGTTTCTTTCTGCCCGCTCGCGGCGGAGCCCAAGCCACGGACCGAGGCATCGGGCCACGAGTGCATCGAATCGGCTCCCGCTTGGTGGCGTGCGGCAGTCGTCGAGGCAAGCAGCGCGCGCAGGCGGGTCAGGCCCGCGCGCGCGCGCCCCGGGCACCCGGCGCCTCGGGGAAGTAGCGGCGGCTGGTCGGTCGCCTTCTCTCGGCGGCGAGCGAGGGGGGGAAATGAGAAGACGAAGGCCTTCTCAGAAGGCGGCGGGACTTCTCAGAAGCCCTCGCGCCTTCTGAGAAGTTTTTGGTGTCTTCGGGGAAGACTTGAAAAACTTCTCAGGAGGCCCGGGGGACTTCCGAGCCTTCCGAGAAGCCCCGCCCCTTCTCACTTCCCCCCCTCGCTCGCCGCCAATATTTGGCCGCTGCAGGCTGGCTTTGGGCTTCAGGGCCGTCAGGAAACGACTCGGGATGAGACGCTGTCCCCGGGGAAGGGGTCGAGAGGTTCGGGGCTCCAGCGCATCGAGACGGTCGAGGCGCCAGGTGTCTGGGGAGCACGCCTTCTTCCCCCGACGCAGCGGTGTGGAGGCACGCGCGGGTGCAGAGCCCACGGGCCGCGAAGGCAGGACAGTGAGCACGCGCACTGGAGCACGCACGTGTGCACGCACGAGGCCGACCCGGAGGGCATCACCGAAGGGGCGGAGGTGAGGCCACCGAAGCCCAAGGACTGGATGGACGACTGGTGGTCCTGGATGGCCGGCGCCTCTGGCGGCGCGGCGGCGGGCAGCTGGGACGGCAAGGCCGAGTCCGGCGGCAGCAAGTACCTGCCCCAGGACCAGGAGCACGCCAACCTGGTTGCCCGGGTGAAGGCGGTCCAGAAGAGCGACAAGCTGGAGGGGGCGGACCGGTGGGGGGACTTCGTGTCCGAGCGCGGCGGCAAGCGGGACCCCGCCTCGCGGACGCCAGAGGAGCTCGCCGAGTTCCTGGCCGTGGCCGACCCCGCGCAGGCGACCGAGGGCGTGACGGGGCAGTTCAGCGACGAGATGGCCCTGGTCGCCCAGGTCAAGAACGGCCAGCGCAACAACGAGGCGTTTAAGAACGCGTGGCTGGAGTACTGCGACGCGAACATGGAGGGCCTCAGGGACCCCACCAAGCACTCTGCGGAGGGCCTCCGCGCGTTTCTGGAGACCGCGCCGCCAGTGACCGCCGTCGAGAGCGATGAGGAGCACCGGAAGATGGTGGAGCAGATCAAGGATCGACTACACGTAAGAGTGACCCTTCGCCAGAGTGACTTTTTGTGCCGGCCTTCTGGGGTCCCGCGATCGCCGAGTGCGGTGCGATGGTAGCGTCTTGCGCGCTTGTGTTTGGCCCCCCGCGGCCTTGCAAAAGCCGCGCACCAAAGGTCACTCTTGCCCAGTGTCACTCCTGCGTGTAGCCGACAGGAGGGCCAGAGGGCCGACGAGACTTTCAAGTTGGCATGGTGGAAGTACTGCGAGGTGAACGGGTCCACGTTCATGGACCCCGCGAAGCACGACAAGGCCTTCCTGCAGGCCTTCGTCGTCGCGTTCGTGCCGGGGCAGGCGCCGCAGCAGGCGGCCGCTGGCCCCAAGGCGGCGGCCGCCGCTGCAGGCTACGGCAAGATGTCCGGCAAGGGGGAGAAGGTCAGGGGCAACGTAATGGTGGGATAGGCTCAGGGGAGCATGCATCGGCCCCCAGTCGCCCATTAATCGCCGGCAGGGGCCCGACAGGTCGCGCCCGCCCAGGACGGGGCGGCTGTGCCATCGGGGGCATATCGCCGATCCATCGGCGACGCATCGCCGATGCCAGGCCGATGTCCCCCCCCCCCGAGCCAACCCCGAGCCCCTGGCGTTCCCCCTCGCAAGGGCAAGGGCAAGGGCAAGGGCAAGGAGAAGGGCAAGCCGGGGCCGTACTCGTGGTGGTGAGCGGCGCCAGGCCCCGCGGGGCGGCCCGGGCCCGTGCGCGCCCCGCGCGCGGCAGCCTGCGCGCCGCGCGGCGGGCGGCGGTGCGCGCCGCGGCGCGCCTCTCGGACACCGCGCTGCGCGGCCCCGGCCTGCCGCCGGCCCCCCCCGTGGCTCGGGGGCGGGCCTCCCCACCGCGGCGGCGCCCGCCCACGCGGCGCCCGCAGCGCCCGCTGCGCCCGCGGGGCGCTCGCGGTTCGCTCCGCGCCGGGCGGTGCCCAGGGCCTCGCCGCCGCTCTCGCGTGGGCCGGGCGCGAGAGTGGCCCTTCGCTTGGAGTGACCTCTGGTGCGGGCCCGGCAGGGCCCCCCGATCGCCGGGCGCGGGGCGGTGGCAGCGGCCTGCGCGCCGGGGGGGGGGCCATGCTGTGCCTGGTTTCCACCACCACCTCCGTAAGTTGGGGGGGGAGGGGTCCTCGAGGATCTTCCTCCTTCTCCTCCTCCTCCTCCTCCTCCTCCTCCTCCTCCTCCAACTTATGGTGTTGCTGGTGGAAAACAAGCCCATCAGGCCACCCCAGGTCCCCCGTGAAGCCGCGCACTGAAGGTCACCCTTGCCCAGGGTTGTGATGTTCCAGCCTGCTTCCAGCCTTGACCACCAGGAAGAATTTCGAGCACCAAGAAGGCACCGAAACTGAAGGGTTGTCATGTGTCGGGCCCTGCGAGGCGATGCGCGTTCGACACTGTTCCGATCTTTTTCTGGGGGCTCGGCATTATTTCTGGGACGTGGTCCTGAAGTGAGATGGGAGCAACATCAGCCCAGGGCCACTCTCGCGTGTAGCCGATCTTCTCGCGGGCGAGACACATCCGCATCCGCGGCCCCAGAGGCCAGGCCTGCGGGCCGCGACCCCGCGGAGGCGGGGCGCTTCTTCGCGGATGCGCTCCGCGCGGGACGCATCCGTGCGGCCGTGCGTCCGCGGGGTCGCGCGCCGGAGGCCAGACGGCGAGGGCGCGGACACCTTGGCATCGCTCGGACGTGTGCATTTTTTCTTGGCGGTGACCATGCAGGAACATCCCGTGCCATCGCGCCTCAGAAATCAGCGCACGAGGCCTAAAAATGCCCGGGGATTTGGGGGGGCCGAGCGATGGCAAGATACGGATATGTTTCAGTCGGGCCTGTCCCCCTACTGGGGGATTTTTCGACGAAAAATCAAAAACACCCCAACAATAATCAAAAAATAGTCAAAACATAGTCTAGGGACTATGTCTTGAGTATTCCTTGACCTTTCCGGGGTATTTTTGGAGTATTTTTGGTTTTTTGTCGACCATCCCCCTGTAGGGGGACACGCCCGACATAAGGATGTGTGCGCCGCTCGTGGCTCGCTTGGGCCGGCCGGCGGGCCGCTGCGGCGGTGGGGGTGCCCTCTGCGCGGGCGGCCGCGCGCTCGCAGCTGGGCCTCTCCCCTCGGGCGCAGGCAGACCGGTGGCCCGCTCCCCTGCGAAGGCGCGCGCCCTCCCCCCGTCGGGGGCAGCGCTCGGTGGGGAGGTTCCCCCTCCTCCTCCTCCTCCTCCTCCTCCTCCTCCTCCTCCTCCTCGAGTTGCGAGGTTTTGGTGCTCGAGGTCTGAGGTGTTCGGGCGCTTTCGGGCGTTCCCGGCAGTTTGCCAGCCCCCGGGCTGCTCTCCAGCAGCTGCGCCTTGACGCTCCGCGCGGATGTCTTGGATCTGCGCGAGGCCCCCCCCGGCGGTGCCTCCGGCGCCGCCCCTGGCGCGCTCCGCGCGCTGGAGATGGGGGGTCGAGCGCGGATCCAAGGAATCCGCGCGGAGCGCCAACAATTTCTGTTCATGCCGTTTTTTCTTCTTCTCGCTAAATTGGAGTAGACATAGTAACTTGGAGTAACGATGGACTTGTATACCCTGTCCGTAGCGCTGTAGTTCGTAATCTTCTCCGACTTCAGGCAGGCTGGTCTCGCCTTATGCTCTGTGGCGCCATCTGGTTGTAGGAAATGTCGAGGGCCGCCTCGACGCCGAGGATCAGTTCGAAGTGGACGGCCACGCCTGGCTGCCCTTCGGCGGCTGCCAGGTCGTGCATTTTTCCCAACCATCCTGTGGTGTTGGGTCCTCGTTTTGAAGAGACAGCACCCCGCGTCACCTCACCTCACCTCCCGCTGCCCCCTCCCCCTCCTCCTCCCATCCCTTGCCTCTGCTCTCCGCATGCCCATCCCATTCTGGCACACCCCTCACACGGTTCGTGGCCCCATAGGGAGCTCCACCGAAGGCCCCAGTGGCAGGGTCCGCATGCGTCCTCACGAGGATCGTGGCCCCATAGGGAGCTCCACTGAAGGCCCCAGCGGCAGGGTCCGCATGCGTCCCCCGGCCCATTTTGGCACAACCCTCAGGAGGATCGTGGCCCCGTAGGGAGCCCCACCGAAGGCCCCAGCGACAGGGTCCGCATGCGTCCCCCCGCCCATTTCGGCACGCCCCTCACGAGGATCGGGTCCGCATGCGTCCCCCGGCCCATTTTGGCACACCTTCGCGAGGATCGTGGCCCCGTAGGGAGCTCCACCGAGAGCGGTACCCACAACGCGGCACCCACAAGCGCATAGGGTTGGGTCCCTCGCCAGGATAAGTTGGAACGCCATGCCGATGTGCCCCGGGTCCCGGTAGCTACGTAGCTGTACTTGTGAGCCGCTTGCCGGAACGCAGGCCCGAGCGCCCGTGTGGTCGATAGACCTGCGGGCTCCAGGCTGGTTGCTCGAACCCGGATGTACTCCGAGCCTGCCTTGAATACTCCAGATTTCGTGATAAAAGGGAGGGGGTCTGGACCCTCCAAGACAAGCCATTTCAGACCTCCCCCGTGGGAGAACCCTCCAAAACATCGTCCCCAGACCCCCCAGGCCCTCCAAGATAGCCTGGAAGAGACCCCCCCGAAATGAGACCCCCCTCCCTTTATTACGAAATCTGGAGTACCCAGCGGTCTGCTGCCCCATCATACGGCACGATTGTACACTCCCGCCCGTTGAGTAGCGGACGAGCTTTGATGCCGACGAGGCCCTCGGCCACGCCAGGTCGAAGCTCAGCTGGAGGTCCTCGTGGCCGTTCCTGTGGCCCTCGGAGCTGTGCCTGTGGTCTTCGTAGTTGCGCCGGTGGCCCTCGTAGGTCTGCTGGAGACTCTGGTAGTTCAGCAGGATGCCTGGGTAGCTCTGCCAGTGGTTCCCGTAGCTCAGGTTGTGGTCCTCGTAGCTCTGCTTGTGGCCCTGGTAGCTTAGCGCGTGGTCCCAGTAGCTTGGCAGGTGGTCCTCGTAGCTCCGCTGGTGGCTGTCCTTGCTCAGCGGGTGGCGCAGCTCGTCTCCCTGGTAGCTCTGCGGGAGGCTCTCGTAGTTCTGCTTGTGGTCCGCGTAGTTCAAGTTGTAGCCCTCGGAGCTCCGGCTGAAGCCCACGCGGCTCAGCTGGTGGGCCTGCGAAGTCTGCTTGAGGTCCTTTCAGCTCAGCTCGTCGCCCCAGTCGCTCCGCAGGAGGCTCTGGTAGGTCTTCCTCTGTGTTCTGCGTAGCTCTGGTTGTGGCCCTCGTAGTTCAGTAGTAGGTGGTCCTCGTAGGTCTCGTAGCTGTGCCTGTGGTCCTCGTAGCTCAGCTCGCAGTCTTCGTGGCTCTGCCAGTGTCTTTCGTCGTGGCCCTCGTAGCTCCGGAGGTGGCCTTTGTAGCTGAGCTGGTGGCTCTCGGAGTTCTGTTTCTGGGCCTTGCGCCTTGCAGTTCGGCTCGTCGCCTTAGTAGTTCTGCAGGAGGCTCTTGTAGTTCTTCCTGTGGTCCGCGTAGCTCTGGTTGCGGCCCTGAGGCTCAGCAGCTGGCCCTCGTAGCTCTCGTAGTTCAGCTGGCGGTCCTCAGAGCCCTGCCTGTGGTGCTCGAAGCCCTGCCTGTGGCCCTAGTAGCTCAGTGCGTGGTCCCAGTAGCTCAGCACGTGGTCCTCGTAGTTCAGCTGGTGGCTGTCCTTGCTCAGCAGGTGGTCCTTGCAGTTCAGCTCGTCGCTCTGGTAGCTCTGCGGGAGGCTTTCGTAGCTCTGCTTATAGCCCGCGTAGCTCAGGCAGCGGCCCTCGTAGCTCTGTCTGTGGCCCTCGTAGTTCAGCTGGTGGGTCTCGGAGTCTTGCTTCTGGTCCTTGTCGTTCAGCTCGTCGCCCTAGACGCTCTGCAGGAGGGTCATTGCGGGCCTTCCAGTAGCCCGCGAGCCTTTGGCTGTGACCCTGGAAGCTCAGCAGGTGGCCCTCGTAGCTCTCGCGGCTATGTTTGTGGTCCTCGTAGCACAGCTGGCGCCTCTGGCAGCATAGCTAGTGGTCCTCGTGGCTCAGCTAGTGGCCCTCGTAGGGCAGTAGGCGGTCCTCGTGGTTCAGCTGGCAGTTCCTGTAGTCCTGCTTGTGGCTTTCGTGGCTCAGCTTGCGGTCCTCGTGGCTCAGATTGTGGCTCTCGTGGCTCGGCAGGTGGCTCTCGCAGCGCGGCAGGTGGGTCCAGTGGTATTTCTGGTTGTGGCTTTTGTAGCTCTGGTTGTGGCTCTCGTAACTCAACTCGTGGTCCTCGTAGCACAGCTTGTAGCTGTCGTGGTTCAGCTGGTGGCTCTCGTAGCCCTGCTTCTTTCAGCTCAGCTCGCGGTCCCCGTAGCTCAGCTCGTGGCTCTCGTGGCTCTGCTGGCGGGTCTCGTAGCTCCGCATGTGGGCGTTGAAGCTCTTCCAGTGGCTCTCGCAGCTGTGCCTTCGGTCCTCGTAGTTCAGCTTGTTGTCCCCGAAGGTCGTCCTGGTGGCCCCGGAAGCTCTGCTGGTGGCTGCAGCAGTTCAGGGGGCACGCTCTCTTCGTAGTCCCCAGGGTCCAAGTCGGAGTCGTCGGCTGGTGTTCTTCGTCTAGGGTGTCCCTGCAGTCCTGGCAGTTGTCGTAGCCCTGCGGTCCGTCGCAGTCCTTGGGGTCTTAGGAGCACATGTCGTTATCGAACACACTGTCGTAGTAGTCCTCGTAGGCGGCGCGGCCGTAATCGTGCTCGCCGCAGGCGGCGCGGCCGTGGTCCACCGGTACCTCCACGACGACGTACTTAGCAACCCCTTCGGTGTGCTCGGTCGTGCCTTTCCTGGTGTCGAACTTGGTGGCGTACTCGGTGTCGTTCTTAGGCTGCATGTTACGCAGCTCTTTCTCGG